CTTCAAGATACCGTCTTTCGTGAGCAAGTGCTCGTGGTTGCTATAGCGTAGCCCGATGACATCATCATGCAGAATTGCAACCTAAGATTAAAAAAAAGAGATCCAAGATGCAAAGTAGCATGGGCAGCGACATCAATCAACACACAGTGCTGCCGTGACGCGTGCTCCGCAATCTCCATATCAGCGGATGCCCGAACGTCGTCGGGCAACATTTCCAAAATGTCTCCGAAAACGCAAGTCCCGGGACCTTAAGGGCTTAGGGCTCAGGGCTTACTGGAAAGATATTAAGGGTGCAAGGCTTGAGTCTTGAGGCTGCCAAGTTTGACTGAGGGCCAAGAATCCGTTTTTGAATTTAGGGCTGTAGTGTAGTCCCACTTAAGTAGATATAGAGCATGGCTTTGGAAGCATTATAATCAGGTCCCCATATACCCCATATTCTATCTACTTAAAGGAGGCTACAGGGCTTACGGGGCTTGGGAGCGCACGTTGACAACTAAGATTTTGGCTGGACGCAAGCAGAACACTGCGACACGCCGGATCCAAATCAGCAGAGTACGTCGTCCTCACACGGACGCCTTCACCGTCCAGAGCGTGAACAACAGCGTCCAGTGCTGCCTCAGCAGCTCCGCTGCCCGAAAACTCAGAGTAGAACGTCACATCTCTATGGCGGCTACTTGCCCGCGGTGACCGCAATCTACGAAATCGTTCCACCATGTGGTCCGGCCAGGCAAACAGACTCAGGTCCATCTTGGAAGCCAGCTGATCCAACTTTCCGTGCTCCGGGAACTCAACACTGGCGCTCCGTGCGCCAACTGCTTTTTTGCATCTCTTCCTCACCAGGCCACCTTTGGCGTGGCACTGACTTGGCCCAGCAGCAGAACCTATTGAGCAGATACCGAACTCATCATCACTGTCGCTGTCGCGCTGCATTGCACAACTTGACTTGACTGCTGCCAAGCGGGCCCTCTGGTTGAGCCGGCCGCACAAATTGAAATCAAACGGGTTGTGAGTTGTGAATGCACAGCATCGCTCACGCTTGTCAACATCAGCACTCAACATCCAACAGCAGCCATCCCCAATTCCTAAACGTTATTTCTTCAACTGACCCGAAACCTCAGCTCAAGCTTCGGTGCTCATCAAACTCAGCTTTAACAACCTTGCAGCAATGTCACTGCGACACGCGGATGTCGCTCTTGCTCCAGCGAGAGTTCATCGTTGAAGAGCACATCGTTGATGGACTCGGCGCACGAAGATTGCGCCGCCTCATGCAGCAATATTACGGCTTAGTTAGGGTTTGGGGCTTGGGGCGTAGGCTTTAGGGGTTGGGGCTTAGAATCTAGAAGCCCAAGCAATGGATTGAATACAGCTAGCAAACGAGCAGGTTGTGACTGTCATCACGCAGCAGGCTTGTAAACAATCAACAACCATCCCCAAACCCCAAAGCTTCAAAGCCCTGACTGACCCCAAACCTCAGCTCAAGCTTCGACACTCATCAAGCCTAACCCTCAGCTCGAACAACCTTGCAGGAGCACATCGTTGATGTTCTCGGCGCACGAAGGGCAAGCCTCACGCAGCGATTTCAGGGTGAGGGGCTCAGGGCTTACGGCCTAGGCTGTAGGGCTTGGGTCTTAGAAACCCAACAGTAGATTGGCAGCTTTCAGTCAACTGGTTGTGATTGCGCAATATGGTTCACGCTTGTCAAGAATTGAGCATCAAATTTCCCCGACTTCCAAAGCTTCAAGCAGAAACTACGGCACTCATCAACCCTCAGCAGCCTTGCAGCAGTCGCTGAAGAACTCGGCGCGCAGGGCAAGCCTCACCACGCAGCCATTGTAGGGGTTTGGGCTTAGTTAGGATTGGGGGACGAGGGTTTGGGGCTCAGGGCTTAGAAGCCTATGCAACAGCTGCCAGTCGAGCAGGTTGTGATTGCGCAGCATCATTCACTCCTGTAAACAGTCAGCATCAACCATCCCCAAACCCCAAGCCCAAAACTTCAACCCTCAGCTCTAGCAACCTTGCAGCCATGTGGCCGCTGTCGCTTTGACTCCGGCAAGAACATATTTTTCATGGACTCGGCACGCGAAGGCAAGCCTCACGCAGCCATGGTAGGGGCTTAGGCCTTAGGCTTGAAGGTTAAGTTAGGGTTTTTGGTTAGAAGCCCAAACAAAAGATTGAGCGCTGTTAGCGGTCCAACTGATTGTGATTGCACAGCATTGCGCACGCTTGCGCCCCAAAACTTCAAAACCTCTAACAACCTTGCAGCAATGCGGCGCTTGCGCGAAATCGGCAAGAGCATATCAGGAAGGTGAAGCCTCACGCAGCGATGCCAGGGACAAGGACAAGGGCTTAGGGTTTAGGCGTGAGGCTTTAGGGCTTAGTCGGCTGAGCGCTTGGAACTTAGAGGCCCGGGCGCAAGATTGAGCGCAGCTTTCAATCGAGCGGGTTGTGATTGCACAGCATCATTCACTCTTCTAAGCACCGAACATCCACTACCCCCCAAACCCCAAAACTTCAAAACCCTGACTGACTCGAAACCCCAGCTCAAGCCTCGACAATCCTCAAACCAAGCCTCAGCTCGAACAACCTTGCAGGAGCATATCGTTGATGTTCTCGGCGCCTGAAGGGCAAGCCTCACGCAGCGATGTTAGGGCTTAGGGTTTACGTTTTTTAGGGCTTAGGCTACTTAGCTCATAGGGCCGTAGGGCGTTGGGCTTTGAAGCGCAAGCAATAGATTGAGCACAGCTAGCCACAGTCAAGCATGTTGTGAATTTTGTGAGTGTGATTGCGCAGCATCGCTCAGGCCTGCAAGCAGTCAACATCAAGCATCAACAAACCGAACCCCATGCTTGCTGGTCAAGCCCACCCTCAGCTTAGCTTGTCACAATCTTGCAGCAAGGTGGCTGCGAAATGGTCACTCAGATGTCAGCAAGCCGGCAGGTTTGCATGTCGATGATGGCGATGGATTCGGGGCAAGCCTCATGCAACACTGAAGCCCAAATAAAAGGCAAGCCCCAAATCATGATCAATGACCTTGGCTCTTGGATGTCACGGTGAACGCTTGTCGTCACTCTTGCAGGCAATTGCAACTTGCAACAAACAGTTCTCACCGCATGACGATACCCCTCATACTCATGATCGATCGGAATAATGAAGTACCAGTACATACGGTGAATCTGCTCCGGTAACACTGATGACAATGGTGCACTCATCTCTCATGACTCACTGCTTGCCCAGGCACCCTCTCACAACAGGCGCCTCACCTCATCATAGTAATACTGAAGGATAAGATCTTCGACGGTTCTTTTCCTTGAGTACGTCTGATGAACCCCCCAGAATCTCTCGCCGTCGCGATCGACGAGCATCAACGCCCGGTGGACCAGCTGCCGAGCCTGCAGGTTGAGCCCTGGGAGTGCTATCCGGATGACCTGCCTGTGTCCATCGTTCGAAACCTTCGGAAGCACGTCCAAGGGGGCTGGTGCTGGCGCTGGCGCTGGTGCTGGTGCTGCACGAGCGGGGCCAGCAACCTCCAGAGGGCCCATCTCAGGCGCAAGAGCGCGCGGGTCCTTGTCGAGCTCCAGCGTCGGCCACTCCAACTGGAGCAAGTCTCCCGGGCAACCTTTGCAGTCCACGAAGAAGGTCTACACTGTCACTGCCACTTCCAGCGTCCACCATCGCATCCGGCTGCAAAGCCGGCGCCTGCCTCAGACGCAAGCGCTTGGTTGCCCAGTATCAAGCTCTCTAGACTCTAGACGCGAAACTTATTACCATACATTTGGGTCTGGGTTTTCTAATTCTCGTACACCCACAAAAGGTTACTCTGTCAACACTCTGCCGCCTCTCGGTTGCCGGGGCTTCGCGCCCCTTCTTGCGGGGCCTACCTGCTGCTGGGGCTGGGCCAGCCCTTTTTTTGGAAGCAGCGCCAGAGCCACTGCGAGACATAGACGCATCTGCACGTGGGTCAATGTCGGAATCACCTTTGAAGAAATCAACTAGCTGGTGGTAGGCTTTGGCCACCAAGTTCTTGGGAACCACCAATGCCTGACGATCCGACTTAAGGTTTTGAGTTTATGACTTCATCAAACCCGTCGGATGCAAAATTGTTGGGACAAAATTGGGGCCGAAGATAAATTGAACCTCAAACCCTAAGCCTAAGCTCTAAACCCTGGAACCAAGAACCCAAAACATTTACGGCTTCGTGGGGACGCTCCAACCTAGCAAGGTCTACCTGGCCTAGTAATGTCTATCTATGATTCAGCCTCACTGGGGATGTCCGCCATTCGCATGGTCTCTTGCACACAGTCGTAATATGCCCCACACATCACAGAATGCGAGAACGCGCTAGCATCCTCCCAACGACACACTGCATCATGGCCTCTGTTTTAAGTTGCCGAATCAATTCCCAATTCATTGGATGACTTATCTGAGATGGGATCCGGGGGCCAAGAGGAAGGCAAATTACATTCCCCAGCCCAGCCAGCTCTCAACAAGGATCACGGATCAGCGTCTGTAACTGTAAAATCTGTATAATCCAGCTATCATCCTAAATGCTACACCCCGTATAAGTTATAAGCCCTGGACTAAATTTCGCGTCAAGGACGGCTTGGTGGCGCTGGTGCTTAGTGTTTGAGGTTTAGGGTTCAGGGTTGAGAGTTGAGACCCTAAACCCTAAACCGTAGACTCTACCCTAGACCCTAAACCCTAAACCCGACCACCCCAAACCCTCAGAACTGAAACTAGTACAAGTAAGCGTGACTCGTGACTAGACAATATTACGCCCAGCTTTAATCCAGCAGGATGCAATAGTAGGACTTTGTCGCATTCTTGGCGTTGAAGATTTTGCCCGACGCACAAGCAGAAGACGCCTTGCCAGCGGTCCACCCTTCTTGCTCAAGCTTCTGGCGGAGCCCCCATGCGCTATTATCGGCGTTGACCTCAGGGTGCTTAACCAGCTCAGGCCCAGCCAGCTCAGTCATGCTCTGCATTGCATCACTCAACAGCACCAGACCGCCATCGGATGTGTGTGAAGCCAGCTCCTGAGCGACCAGCCAGTGCGCGGCATCCCGGCGCAATGGCTCAGCGGGCAAAGGCAAGGGCGTGCTACGGCTGATTGCCTCGCGGGCAACATCGAACACTGCCTGCAATCTCAGAGGGTCGGAAGCTATCGAGAGCTGGCAACACTCCCCCGGCCCCTCGTCGTCGCTGCCCGGCCCAACCTCTTCCGCTGCAACTGCGGAAAGGATAGCTTCTTGGGAGAGCTGGCAGACATGGTTCACATCCTTGAACTTGTAAAGATTGTGGAAGCCGTGCTTGAAGAGGTCTGCCACTGCCATGGCCTGCATAGTCCCTGAAGAAATGACTGATACCTAGTGGTGCCTGGCAGTGGCACCAGCGCAGATTCAGCATCTGCTCCACGATCTGAAGGAGCGGGCGCAGTTAAGCTGCCAAGGTTTGCAACTGCAACTTGCCCTTGCCAAGCGTCTGTCCCCCAGCGTGTGAGCTTCTCCATGTACTTTTTCGCTCCGGGCGCGGCACTGACGAACTGCACCACCATGTACTTTGTTGCACTCTCACTAACATCAAAGGGGACAGCATAGTAGGCGCCATCGCTCAAGGTTGTTTTCACATGCGCCTGCCACGCTCGCATAGATGCGTCCACAACTTCTTTCGACTCAGCTGCCGCAGCTTGTATCAACGCATCCTCCGTCTCCGTGCTTGCAAACATAAGCTGAAGATTATGCCCGGACACAAGTCGGTGTAGTTCTGCCATGCTTTCTCAGGAACCAGCTTTTCAAACTCATGCAAGTAGCGCTCCAGGCGCAGGCGGAAACGGTCATCTCGAATGTCATTGTTCAGCTTGCGGCGCAAGTGCGCACTGACCTGGGCAGCGCTGGATGCCCGGCTGGGTTGGAGGCGAAGATTCACGAGATGGTGGCGACTCTCCAACCTTTGCATGGCCACAAGGCTCAAAGAGTAGCTCAAGAGCTCCCTGAAAAGGGCAGTTGGCATGGGCCCAGCCCCGCCGGCCCACTCCTCCATCTGCTCCTTGAAGGTGCCATTGAAGAACTTGTCGGCGAAAGTGTTGCTCGGAAGGTTTGATCCTAGCAGCTCGCGCGCAAAGCGCCGGCTGTCAGCAATGGCTCCCGTCCGCGCTGGACCAGCTGGCTGCATGACATAGGCCAAGAGCTTGCAGATATTCCACGGATAGGTGGAATAGAAAGAGGATCCTTGCTGGAACCGAAGGTAGACCTTCTTCTTGGCCAACTCGAAGCCAGCCTCCACCAGTCGTCCTTGGTCCAGATTAGCGCTGCGCATCTCATCCATAGCTTTCCTTGCGGGCTCGGAGAAAGACGACAGTGTCAACTGCTCCAAGTCTTGCAGGAAACGATGGCACTCCCCATTGGCAAGAGCAATCATGTGACGACCCCTGAAGGGACAGGTATCTCGCTGATCCTTTCCGCTGCTGGCCTTTGCCCGATGCTCGCACGCTGGACAATTCTTTGGGCATTCATGCATGTACCGATAGATGTCAAAGCCCCAAGCATGTATCGCATACTCTGCCCAAAAGATCGCCCAGAATTTCAAGCGTTCCTCTGGCTGGCTGGCAAGCTGCCTGGGCGCGGCAGCCTCGGCTGCAGTGACATCAGAGTCCTCTCCAACGCTCGGCGGAGCGATGGGCTCCAGATATTGAATCCTAACACGGGCACAGACCCCGGGGCGCAACGGTGCAACAACAAAAAAACGCATTCTAATTCTGATTCTGAACTATACAACCTCACAACTCAGAACTTGCCGAGTCCCATTGCAGTAGCTAGAGCCCCACAAGAAACCAAGATCATTCAAGAATCAGCTGTTGTCGACGAGACAACCAATGCATGACATCGAAGGCATAGTGCCAGCGATGCTTTACCAAAGTGGGGCACAACACGTCGAACATCGCACTTAAAGTTTTTTTGGCTGCTTGTGGAACGCTGGGGTTCTCCTGGATGTGGCGCTGGATGTACAATTCAACGCAGTCTCTCTTCGAAAAGAATTTTGCAAGTGCATTAAGCTGCCTATCGAACGACTTATACAAGTCGCCTGTGGCTGAGACGAACCCTTCCTCGCACTCTCGCATTGCAAAATGCAACATGTGGTCTATGTCCCCAAGTGGCATGCTGTCTAGAAAGCAGCGGTCTGCGCCGATGTTCGGGTTTGCAGAACCTCAGGCGCAGAATTAAAAGCCATACACAGGAACTGGAACGGAAACCAATCGAAAAACAAATCAAAGTCCAGAGTCCAGAGTCCAAAGCACAACTGCGTCAACTGGGAGGCTGCGAACTGTGAACTACGAACTACATGGGATTCACAGGGAGCATGTTAGGCAAGGCAAGGTACGGATATCAGGGAGAAGCCACAAGGCGCTTTCAACGCCCATGTCCGACAGAAGGCTATGCACAGCCCCACGGGCGATGTCAACATCACACTCTAACCCAAGAATGCGAAGGCATGATTTCGCCTTGTACGCCGTAGACGTTGCTTGTTTCCCCAACACTTGCAGCGGACAAAGACGTGTTGTGATCTTCGCCCGCAGATACCTGGGCCACGGTTTGGCATTGGGGCTGAGGGTAAGTAGTAAGTAGTCAGTACGGTCTTAGGGCTTTGGGGCTTTAAGGCTTCACTTGGGTTTGTTTTGAGATCCCGGCCCATGGCCCAGCTATAAATTAAACTCTAAACTCCACAACTTCAAGACTTCAAGTCCTAGTCCTAGTCCTAGCAGTCTTACTGGGGAGTCCTACTATCCCGCTTTGTAACCCGTAATACTGGGGATGTGATTTGACGGTGAATTTGACGGGGCATGATTTGACGTGATGTGATTCGGATCGGTGGTGGTGGTGGTGGTGGT